TGACGTCTGGGAGCCTCCACTGGGGCTTCCAGTTCCTCTCAGGTAAAGAAGGGAACTCCTGGAGGGTGCTCTTCACCAGGAGGCCCATTGCTAAACAGAACACCTCCAGCCACCACACTGAGGGGAGCACAGCCGGGAGCAGAGCCCCCCATGGGCGTTGCAGCTGTCACCCACAGTGTCATTGAGTGCCTCCGTAGCACTTTCTGTCATCTCTATATTTACTTCACACTGTAAGTGATCCCCTTTCTTTTAAATGTAAACACATTTATTTGAAAAAGAAACCATATATTAAAATCATAAATGGAGACTAGTCAAATTTGCCATGAATAAATTTTAATGTTTTGCATAATAAATATATACAATTTTTATTTGTCAATTGAAGAAAGAAAGATATGTTTCTATAGCAGGGGGTTATTTGAGTAACATCTTTCCCCTTAACCTGGCTGGAAGATCCTAGATCAGTGGTTCTCAACCTTTCTAATGCCGTGACCCTTTAATACAGTTTCTCATGTTGTGGTGACCCCCAACCATAAAATTATTTTCATTGCTACTTCATAACTATAATTTTGCTACTGTTATGAAACGTAATGTAAATATCTGATATGCAGGAGACTCCCAAAGGGTCATGACCCACAGGCTGAGAACCACTGTCCTAGATGATTAGTGTCACTTCTACCAAGGAGCATAGAGACTCTTGGGGAGCATAAAGTCCGGGAAACATAGAGACTTTTGGAAAGCGTGCAGCCCAGAGTCCAGGATGATTCCTGGATCTGCCACTTACTTACTCTGTGACCTTGAAGAAGACAACTGAGCTTCTGTGTGCCTTGAATTCCTCCTTTGTAAAATGGAAATAATAGCATCTACCTTAGAGTTGGTGCATGGATGAGATGAGATACTGTGCTAGGTGCTTTAGCACAGTGCTTGGCCAAGCTAAATGTTTGACAAACGCTAACTGCTATTATAATTATCATCATTTCATTATTTCCCTCTATACTCACTCTCAAGGGCTAGAACAAAAGCCAAATCATAAGAGAAGGGAAAGAAGCAGCTGGCAAGGGAACGTGTCAACTTCCGGAGTGATGTGCAGAGATTAGCGGTTCTGAGTTTGCAGGAAGGAGAAGGAACCACTGAAACTACCCAGCGATCCACTCACAGAGACAGTCATCAAGGGCAGGCCACATCCAAGCTCTGCTAGACGTGAGGGGTGTCTGTCAGTAAGACCAACTGGATCTCTGCCCACCTATAGCGCTCAGACTAGGGGAAGAAATAGACTTCAAACAAACACTTGCATAAGTAACAGTTTAATAATAAGTTGGAAACTAATACAATATACAATGCAGAGGACTTAAGAGCAACAGAAAAATCACCACAGTCTGGGTTAGGGTGGGGTGGGGAGCTCAGCATCCCACACCCTCCTGCACCCCACCTCCTCCCCACACAGGATCCAGGAGGGATTTGGTAGAGAAGTCATGCTTGATCAGCCTGCAGGGGATGAGACCACACAAGCATTGACAAAGGTAGAGGGAAGCCAAAGTCATTCATTCTGTCCCTTTTGGACACACATTAGTTCATCCTACACTGCCTATTACTCAGACCAGATTTAAAGAACAGTCCTAAAGCTTCTGACGGCTAAGACAGTTTGCTCTTCATTCTTTGTGACAAAGTCTCAACTGGGTAATGTCTGAAAATTAATTGAGCGAGCCTTACTATTGCACACAAACACTTGGACCAGTGATCCAGGAAAACACATTAACTGCCTGAATGAAGTACTAGCCATTCACGGTCAGTGGATTTTTCTGCTATGTGGCATTTCTGCCAGGCCAGTGGAGGCAGCTGGAGAATAGTGAGGAGAGGTCAGGACACGGCATGAGAAAACTTCGGTTATGTTTTGTTGGTTAGCAAGAACACCTGGAACAAGACACTTAGCGTCTCTGGCCTCAGATACTTTTCTTATCTGAAATAACGGAGATAATGACACCTAAGTATATTATGTAGGCGCTTTTCTGGCTGCAAGTAACAAACACCCATTAATAAGGGCTTCCACAGATAGATATTTAGTCCCTCACATACAAAGTCCCAGGCATTTAGTTGTGATCATTGGAAAAGCAACTCAGCAAAGCCAGGGCTCTGGGTCTGCCAAATTTGTTGCAGTTCTCTCAGTTTTTCCCTCATGGTCATAAAATGGCTGCTGCAGCTATGGCCATGAAGTCTTATCTTTAAGGCAGTAGGAAAAGGGGGTAAAAGGCAGAACAGCCTCCCTACTTTTTATATAGCAGCCCCAGTGTTCCCTGGCAGACTTTGGCTTCTACGCATGGGCCAGGTCTATGTCCCATGGCCATCCCTAGCTGCAAGGGAGGCTAGGAAAGTGGAATTTAACTTTTCTAGTCTGTAGGTCAAATGAACAGTGTCTATCTCAGTGTGTAAAGGGGAGACTCCACGAGGCACAGAGGGGAGGCTGGAGAGAAACGGATCTTTGCCTCAGGTCCACCCTGCTCCTGCAGGGGCCCTCTTTCTCCTATAAGGAAGACTGTATGTGAAAGAGCCGCAGAGGGAAAGCAAAGCTAATCGTCCTAACACAGCCTGGGTTTGTGGTGGTGGTTTTGTTTTGTTTCCTGTTCAGAAGGTTTGGATTTGAGGACAATCATCATTATTTTATTTTTTTGAGACAGAGTCTCACTATGTTGCCCTCGGTAAAGTTTGAGGTAGTCACAGCTCAAAGCAACCTCAAACTCTTAGGCTTAAGCAATTCTCTTGCTTTAGCCTCCTAAGTAGCTGGGACTACAGCCCCCCAC